CCATTCCGGAATGGTTCCGGAATGATTCCATCCCACTTTCTTGCCGCCTTCTTGCCGCCAGTGTGGTAATGTCCAATGCTAGCATAAAGTCCTAAATGGACACTGAAATGGTCTTCATTCTCTGGTTCAAGGCTGACCCTACCACTGCCTGCACCCTTTCATGCAATTATAGTGCTATGATTCCACTTTAACTTCCATGTCAACATCCTACAGAATCCTAGGATTTGCAGTTTAGGGAGGAACATTTTGTCAGTCTAAGAACTCACCTGAGCCACAAACCCTAGGATGCCATAGGGTGTCTGTCATGGCTGTTAAAGTGGATTCATAGAGCTATGATTGTATAGTGAGGAAGGGTTCCTTCTGTTCCTCCTGAGTCACCCAGGTCTTCCTCACTGAGATCAGAGCAATGTTGCACATAGCCTATCCTGATCCCTTCTCTTGGCCTTCTTCCCATAGGTGAATGCTACTAAAATAAGATGGCTGTGCAGTCATCTTCCGTATGTGGGATGGGAAGGCAATGCTGTTTTATCCTTTGACTGTGACAGTAAAACACCTTGGGCTATCCCAGTTCTAGCTGCCCCAGGGTAACAGCAAAGGAGGACAAGGCACTACAAAATGTAGGACATTCAAGGAAAATGTAGTCCATTACAAAATAAAAGCTCAAAACATTCATATAAAAAGTAAATGCATGCTTCTTAGGGCCTTTGCAGACTGCTAGAAATAGTGTAAATTGAGTCCACTTTAACTGCCCTGGCTTAGTGCTAGGAAATCATGGGAATTGTCAGGCTCAAAATGGAGTTACATTTGGGAGTTACTCTTGGACAGAAGGTTGAAGTGTAGGATATGTCCTCAAAAAGGAGGACATTGATCACCCCATGGCTGCCCCTGCAAGTAAAGTAAGGAGTGCCAGGTGATGGGGAGGAAGGGGCCTTGTCAGTGGTGGTGCCTTTGCTATCAAACTCTCCTTCTAAAGAGACTCACCTATTTCCTATCTTGTGGTCTTTTCAGTAGCAGGGGAACAACTTTGTTCCTTTCCCCAGGGCTTTTAAAAATCTAAAATGTATTTACATTATTTTCTGGTTATATTCACTTGTTCTTAGGACGTTATCACACGTGGGCCAGAAAGCGATAATAAAGTGGAAATGAGGCATTCCGAAAATAAACTGAAAATAAACCTTGATTCCGCAAATGGCTTTCACACATAATTACCTCAGTTGCGAAATTAAAGTAAGCGCATTTAACGTTCACACACAAGCGAGAAAAGCCCGTGAATGTAATAGAAATGAGCTTCTTGCACATGCGCAGATAGAGGAATGCTCACTGGAACCATGGGAAAAGCAGGGAAATGCTCCCAAATGCGCATTTTCTTTTCACATTACGGTAAATGCGAAATTACCTTAATTTCGCATTTGCATTTCCTCCAAACAACCGAATTTCAAAAGATCTCAGTTAACACAAGTTTCTGCCCACCTTCTGTACAGTTTCTGTGCGACGTCGGGTGAAAACGCGAGGCACAAATCCAGTTTCTGTTTGGGTTTTGTGTGGATTAACCAGCAGATTTGCCCCCGTGTGATAACGTCCTTAGTTAGGTTTAATTCTTAATGGAAGCTACTCAGGCTGCATCTGCACTGAAGAAATAATGCAGTTTGACACCACTGTAACTGCCATGGCTCCATCATATGGAATTGTATGACTTGTAGTTTGTTGTGGCATCAGCGCTCTCTGACAGAGAAGGCTAAATAGCTCACAAAACTACAAATTCCAGAATTCCA